TTCCGGTGAGCTTTCTACCCGGAAAAGCTCACCGAAAGCACTTTTTCATCAAAAAAAGATGGCGGCGCCCAGCAAACCAGCGGCCCGGTAGGACTTGTTCCACGGACCGGTACCGGTCCGCGGACCGGTGGTTGGGGACCCCTGCATTATTCGGTATCCTTTATACATCATTTTTTTTTTATCATCCCCCCACCCTGCCCCAAATATCCTTTCTCAAGACTATTTATCCAGTCCATTCTATTTTTCAGAATCTTTCATAAAACATTTTGTCCACAACTTGCACACAATATTCAAGACAGGATCTAATAGAAAACTGAACAGTGGAATAATTATATGGTAAAGCAATGCAACAAAAGGCGTGGTAAAGAATAGAAATTATTGGACAGCATCATGCTTTCTTTTTAAACTGATATCAGCTCTCTTTTTTCCCCTTAATTTCTGTCCTGTTCTGTTTCCCTTCTTGAGCCAATTGCCCCTATTAAACAATTACATCATCTTTTATATAAGCAAATAAATTACCATTCACATAATAACAATGTTCACAAAGTATGAAAAAGTACATTATTCTATGTAATCATATCATGAGCTGAAAAAGAGGCAAAAAAGCATTGACAACATGGTGGAATTCATGGAATCTTCCAGAATTTCACAACAGCCATCTACTGTAACTTATACATATTAACAAGGTATTATCCTTATTAATTAATATTTCTCATACATGTAGGGTTGCTTAACCCAACAACAATGACTTTTTCTGTTTCGAATTTTATAGTTTTGTTAATGTAGACAAAATTGCATTTTCCTTTTCTACAGCTATATTACACTGCTGGTTTATATTCATTTTTGCAATCAACTACTGTTTCAAATTTTATTATGTCCATCCAGCTATTTCCTTGGCCTATATTTATGCATTTGAATACTGTTCTTTTAAATTTCATTCTATTATTTTTGACTAATTTCTCCAGCCTATAAAGATTGAGGGGTCCTTGGTGCTCTCTGAGCTTGCTTTTTTTTTTCTTGCAGACGTTTCATTACGCAAACCAGGTAACATCATCAGTGTTAGTAAGGAGTGCAGCTTGCTGTTAGTTTATATTCCAGTGATTCCTGTCAGTGTTGGTGGGAGTGGTCTTACCATACAGATTCTTTGGACTGTTTGCTGTTGGCTTCTTTGGCAGTTTCTTGATTGGGGTATTCTTTTTTTTTATTTTTATTTTTATAAAACAAGTTTTATTGGTTTTAAAGACAAACAAAACATAAGACATCAAAGTATAAAACCTCCTT